AAATCAATCAAGTGACAGGGAGCGCACCATCACAACGAAGTAAGATGAGTCGACTATTTGCAACTGCAAGTTCTTCAACCCCCGTAAATCGTTTTGAGGTGTATCAGTAAGTGTAAGCGCAGGATGGTCGGCAGGCTTTGTAGTATAGTACGATATGGCATATAATTATGGTTACTAATAATATGAAATGAAGATACTATAACATGAATTTATTTAGCTATTTAAATATGCCCATGTGTCATATCATTTGACTACCAGGATATTTTTGCGGTGTCATATCTTTTGACCACCAGGATATTTTTTTACAGTGTCATAATAAAAAAGGCTAGTTTTTCATAGATCTATCGATTCATACTAATTATATTGTTGGCGGAGCTGGATATAATTTGCCCATTGTCCTTTCCTTTAGATTTAAAATACTAGCAGTTAAATGCTTAAAGTAAAATTTAATAAACTAAGAGCTTTGATTCCTTAACCAGATGAAGTCAAAGCTAAGCCTATCCAACACGGCTCATTGATTACGGAAATTCCTGTCTGTTCAATATGATATCAAATTACATTGATACAGTTACATGCAAGTACTTAAAAAGGAGTGCAAAATGAGAAAAAAACATCAGCTTTTTGTAACACATGATACGTAGTCCGTGTGTAACATTAGAAATAAATACATCAAATCTGCTCTCAAGTTTAAAGGCTACTTATACACATTACCCAAAACTACATTCAAAAGATCTATGAGGTCACAGTGATTACAGTTTCATCGAAAACTTTAACACCCTGGCTAAGTATTCACGGTGCGGTTTTATTCCGCGCTCGCCGCGGCTGTGGCACCGCCACTCGCGGAGAATGTAAAATTATAGGCAAAAGCAAATTTCTCGGCTCGATTTACACACGCAAAGCGCGCAGTTGTTTCTACCACCCGTTACTGGCGCGCGAGACATGATTACCCGCAGTCGTGGCGGCTGCGGGACCGCAAAAAACTGCGGTCTCGTAAGTTTTGAAATAAAACAGCTCTGTGGCCATCCTCAGCGGGTGCAGAAAAAAATCGCTATGTGAGTTCTTAGCCTAAGAATTCACAAAAGTGGTAGGTCGGTTTTTCTGCTTGGGTCACTTCCGAGGAAGAGTTCACCTCATTGAAATCTACAGCTAAATAACACTTTTTTCACATCAAACCACATGAGTTATGCCTGTGTAGTCCTGTTGCTACACTTACACTTAGCTAAACATCGAATGCGATTTGCCGGGCATTGATTAAAAATTTTGTGTCGCAGTACACAAAAACTGAGGTCTGAAAATTCATTTTAATAAAATCTCGAGCAGATTTCCAATCTGTTATATAGCTATCATTTTAAAGAACGGCGTCCACATAACCTGCCTAATTAATAAACTGGATCCAAGCTTGTATTATGTAAAGCTTGTTTTGTTATCTTTATGTTTTGTTTCTGTTCATCGAATTATAAATGACATTTGAGTGACGTAAACATGGTACTGCTTAAGTTATGCTTATGTATTCCATGTCCATTGTTTGTTTTAATGAGGGCTAGATAAGATGATCTTCTGCCTATAATAATTTTATTACGAATTTTGGACTACGAAAACATTCTAATATTATAGATATTATTATTTGTTACGTATAACTTTTAAAAATAGACCAGGCTATGTTTATTTGTCTCCACGCGGTGCGTACCAATTGTGTTATAAAATATCTGATATGCGACCACTTTCGATAGGTACTGAAAAATAAGAAGATAAATAAATATTTCCAAAACTCACAGCAATAGCCTAGCCTCAAAGTAAGCACTGTAAGGCTTCTGTTATGGAATACTAGGGTAACGGATAGAGTACATATAAAAGTATATTTATATAGAAATGCATATTATACATCCATGACTGGAGTACAAATACTCGTATTCGTCACACAAACATCTGCTCCTACCGGAATTCGAACCCGGGTTCTCTCGAGTCGGCGACACCATTAAGCCCGGCGTATAAACCACTCAGCCACAGAGGTCGTTATACAAGATAAACTGTTTATTTCATTTTAAACATAACTATAATATTGTTTATTTTTAATTATTAGTTTATCTCTCTCTATTTTTTATTATTTGTTTATTTTTATTTTACGAAAAGAATTAATTTGTTACTTTTACATTACGAATAGCACTTTACTGATCGTATTACTTAAATAAATATCTTATCCATAAAATACCTACTCAGTTCGGAGAGATAAAACTCGGAGATATTTATTTAGGTACCGATTTTGTTTAACAGAGAACTTTTAACACTAAATGGGAATTATTTGCGTGAAAATCTTGATGATGAAGCACTGCTATTGCTTGTTACGTGGGACAGTCAGAAAGTTTTGAGAAACTAAAAATTTAACTTCTATGAAAAAAATATTTTGATTAAATCTTTTCAAAGAACTCTCCACCAGCATCTATACAAAGTTTCATGCGTCTGAACTAATTTTCAAAACATTTTTTCCAGTCCTCCGCAGACACCTCTTCCACGGCCTTCTCAAACGTGTGTGGATTGGAGAGTGATAACGGACCCAGCGCGGATTGGTGGGTGACAATGGACCCAGTGCGGATTGGTGGATAATAACGGACCCAGTGCGGATTTGTGGTTTTTTTCCATCAACAAATCTTCAGGTTAAGTTTATGATTTGCAGATCTTTGGAGCTAAAGAAGTTTCACTTCAGTCAAGTTAGTCATAAGCACACTCGCTTTTTTTTAAGTTTGTGCTTGTTAACTATTTAGTTCGAATAGACAATCATTGAACTCTATTTATAGGGTTCCGTAAATACTAAAGGGTGACAACTAGCGTTATTACTAAGCCCTTACTTTTTAGAGTTCCGTGCCCAAGGGGCAAACGGTGAACCCTCTTACTAAGAGTCCACTGTCTGTTTCTCTGTCTGTCACCAGGCTGTATCTCATAAACCGTGATAGCTAGACAGTTGAATTTTTCACAGATGATGTATTTCTATTGCCGCTTTAACAACAAATACTTAAAACAGAATAAAATAATATTGGGGCTATTGGGACTCACAAAATATGGGTTTTTTGCTCTTTATTACTAACGGCAACATGAAGATGCTTGAAATATTCACAGAATATTTAGTTGTATATTCACTTGAAGATTAAATTAAAATAAAATAAATCTTTGTGGGACCCAATACAACAGACTTGTTTGCCGTTTTTTGCACGATATTTTCGAGTCCGATTCGCACCTGGCCGTTTTTGAAGTGAAACTTTTTTTACGCACGCTTGACTTGGGGGGTAAGCTGGCGAAAGCGTTACGAGTTACGAAAAGTGTGTTCGGGCGAGGCGAACGGGAATTGAGTGGAGCAAGAGACGCAGTACGCGCGCACATTTTATTTCTCTCTTTCTTTTAGCAAATGAAATATGTATATGTACGTACATGTATATATTGCACACACACATATATATACATACAGATGGAGCTAAAGAAATTACTCGTTTTTTTCCATTGCCCACTTAAACAACATCACATTTGACATTTCTAATGTCTAAAATGTTGTCTAGAAACAGATGTGACATAATGCTAGACAATTTCCCAGTAATTAATAAATACTCGTGTGGCTACTTTACTGCTTGGTTTTAACAGCGGTATAGGTACAGGATTTCCCGCTCCAATAAAAGCGTTCGTCTCGAGAAGTGATTTAAGTTAACCCTAACTAGGTTATTCGCTTACCGTCAGGCAAACCATATGCTGGTAAGATACCCTTTCTACATAAACCAACACTCTTAACATCTTCCTTTTAGCATTCCGTTCATATAGCTCTAAGTCGTTCACTTTAATTAAAATTGCAAAGACGCCTAACTCCGTAACCGTCCGTGAACGTGTCACCGAAACCGATCAATTTCAATACACTTAGAGCGTGCGTTTTTTCATGGAAAGCGCGAATCGCTCCAACGCTTTGCGATCACACGTCTAGAAGATTATGTAAATGGAGCATTCGGGGTAGTCATTTAAATTAATCACGCGGAGAAAGCATTGTCACAGAGCGGTGCGAGCGATCGACCGCACTCAGCCTGGCGTTACTACGCAACGCGCCGCTGATTGCGAATTTCACGATTCGCCTATGGGATTAAGATGCGAATATTATCTTCATTACATAAGGCATTATCATTTGTTTAATGAAAACGAATAGAGTGTTAATTATGTCAGTGTTTTTATGGAGGTACCTGTGTTATTGAGTTGGGATTTCTCATTTCTTTGACAGAGTAGTGATTATCGTAATTAAAAAATGAAATAATTAGATAGTTGTTATAGCTGTTGGAATTTAAACATTGAGCCCACTTGCAGTAAATTTGGTAGATCTCGATTCAACTATTTATTAATTTTTGTATGGGTTAAATCTAGTTTTAGTTAAATTGAGATTTAGAAAAAAAAGCTGCAGTGCCCTCTTAAACTAAAACTAGATGTAACCCCTAGAAAAATGTCAATGTCAATTTTACATATATTTTTTTTCGACGACCTCCCTGGTCGAGTGGTTTGTACGCCAGGTTTCAAGGTGTCGCCTACTCTAGAGGTCCCGGGTTCGAATTCCGGTGGGGGAGATGTTTGTGTGATGAATACGAGCATTTGTACTCCAGTCATGGGTGTTTAATATGTATTTCTATATAAATATACTTATATATGTATCAGTATATGTATTCTATCCATTACCCTAGTATCCCATAACACAAGCCTACAGTGCTTACTTTTGGGGCTAGGCTAATTGGTGTGAGTGTTGGAAATATTAATTTATTTACATTATTATATAGGGGGCTCAGCTTCGTTTTAGTTAGGTTTGGGAAATATATGCAAGTAAGCGAAGACGAAAATGCACAATGCGACAATATAACAAGCTCGTCATTTAATGAAGCTAGATCGAGCGTCTGACATTGGAAGTATGATCTCAACACTTTTCAGTTAAGACCGACGTAAACGTAATTTCATTAGTTTGCTTATCCATAAATCAGTTTTGTTTACAAGTCCACCAGTCCCATGGTAGGCGCTGCGCAGCTAGGCGGACTGATCTGTGTACTGACGGAACGGAACATCTGAGCGACTCAGTTCATTCAGACTCAGTCGCCCGCCCGCCTTCGATAGCGATGCTCGCGTGTGGGGCGCCTGTCTGCCCAAACTTTCAGTGAACACGTGTGCCTAGTGTTTTTGTGTACCTATATGCTTACGGATCTATGCTTAGGTGGGTTAAGCGATGTGCAATATTTCCGCTAAGCTCCGCTCTGCATTCGGACGTTAGAGTTCCATGTCCATTTTAAGGATTAATGGATTGTGACAAATGTGAGTTGACATTGCCCGTTTTTTTTCATTTTAAAAAATTATGTGTTCGTAATACGGTTAGTATTGCTAATGAACTGTAAATTCATTGATAATTAGTTCGTCCGTCTGAATAACCTAGGGTGCGGGACCGCGTGGAATTTCTTCTAGCAAATTCTTTTTACATATAAATACTCAAAAAAATTTAATTGCTAATTACTAATTACGATTGTTTTTTTTTTTTGGAAATGGTTGTTGTTTTATAATTGGGGCCAAAATTATTTTATTCTTATCCGTAAAATTGTATGGTGTTAATATTTTTAATATGCAATGTATGATATTATAATTTAAAATAATATTTTTGAGATACCAATTTACAAAAGATAAAATTAATACCTGTTTGTATCTAAAATACCTACCTAGTCGACCTTTATTACTTTACCCTACCTTACCTTTTAATTTGACTCTTACTATTTTTTAAATAGAACATTTTAATTCGTTAATTGTCTGTCACAGGTTACTTTACATATCGTGGATCTTTTTACTGCCAAAAAATTGTTTCTTTACTGAGACAGCGGATAGCTATTATTATACTACCTAATTTAAAATAAATTTCGCTGACATATTTAAAAAGGAATTTATCTAACTGACATAACATTTTTTATAATATAAAGTATTGTGCAGTTAGAAGATTATAATGTATTTATTAGTTTCCACCGGTGACTTTGTCTGCATCATAGTTAGTTTTTTGAGAATTCCATAGGAACCAAACATTTTTCCTGTATAAAAAATGACTTTATGTCAAGTTTCATCCAAATACGTTCAGCCGTTTAAAGTGAAAGGGTAACAAACACCCACATACTTTTTTTGTTTATAGTATTAGTAGGATTACGGTTTTCCATACCGATTATGCATTGTATAAATTCGATAGCTGACGAGACATACCCATATTACATTATTAGTCTCGTATACAACCCATCAGAAAAATGTAATTAACGATAACATCATCACGTCTCATTCATCAACATTATTTTTTATCTTCCTTAATAAATTGCGTCATAATATAATTAGAAGAGATTTGATATCGATAATTACAACCGTAAGACGCACTAAATGTGATTTATCGGCGTTCCTTGTTGTAAATCACGCCACTTTCTCGTTACATTTGTAGCAACACTCGTAGTAAATTTATACTGTTGGCTTCAACACGCAAATCGAATTATAACTGCTCAGTCGAGCTTGCCTGATCCCTTCAAATGTTTGTTAAGTGAAATGCTCAGGTGATTTACCTCGAAAATAAGCTTTTATAATGTTTCATTCTTCTTTGTAGTTAGAAAACTAATCTTTTAGAAGTTTTATAGCTTCAATGAAATTACAATGACAGTTCAACCTATTTTTGGATAGGTTTATTAATAGCAGGTGGCAGCAATATAAAAAATAACCGAGCGCATCAGACATTGAGAAGGGATGTTACGTGAACCCTCCAATAGCTCCTATTCAAAAGACTGACGATTTGAACCCGACCAAAAGTCATGGCCGTTTGTTGAAGTTTTGTTTTTGCTGCCCTAGACGTTCGGCCCTACATAGACTTACTAGGGACTACGGACATAGACTACTTAACTAAGTGCAAGGTTGCTCCCCATATTTTATTCTGCCGCGCTCGAGTAAATCCAAGAATCCCCACTTGGGCTCCCCTACTATAATCTTCTTCTGATTAATTTGTTCAAGAACCGTCAACTTTAAGTAAAATTTCATCTCTCTGCGTAGCCTACTGGCAGGGATCGCTATGTAGTGATGAAACAAACTTATTGTTACAATTATTCTTCTTATTCGATGACTTTGGCTATTGCCTAAATTAGTTAAAGAACTTTTAAAAGGAAAATAAAGATTGTCAAAGAATAATTTAATGAACAACAGCATTAACACAACAGTTTAAGAATTTAATAATATTTCGAACATAATGTTCTCAAATTGAAGCTGGGCCTTTAGTGATAATACTAAACTTGACACAGCATAATTAATAGTTAGGAATAGTTACGTAGTGTTTTGTTAACATCGCAAGAAATGGCATTTGTAATTAGTGAACAGAGACAAACCGTGAAATAGATAAGACCAACGAAGATAATAATATAATAGAACCCGATGTGTTTCTTACTAGACTATTGTGGAATTTTTGAATAGTAATAATCATAAGTAAGACTTTTGGTAAGAATAGCTTACTAAAATAGGCTGTGTAGAAATCTATATACACAGGACAGCAAATACACAGGGTCACTTGCTACCTTGGACCTCTAATTTAATTTTCTCGAAAAGTATAAAACTTACAACTATAAAAGCTGTATTTACAGAAAGAACGTTACGTGACGCTTAAAATAAATAGAAATTAATTTTAAATTAATCAATTTTAAAAAAAAGGCATGAATTATCTTTCAAAGTAAAGTAGTTTTCTAGTTGTATTGATCGGTTGTAAAAAGCGTAGCAGAAATATACATGTCTGAGAAAACGATGTACAAAAACTGAAGAAATTGTAAGAAGTATCAGGCTATCCTTATTTTATAAAAAAAAGAAAGATATATATCGCAACCTTAATCAAGAATCAGCAAATCGTTAGGATAGTGTTTCTTGCTTGATTAAAAAGTATGTTGACAGTACTTCACAATATTATTTTAAGTCATTTAAATCATCATGAAATGCATTTTGAAATGATTTAGCTTTGATAATATTAAGTCTTACACTTTTAGAGAAAATCAAATAAGCTCCAAGACACTAGCAGGCGACTCGGTCATCTGCACAATCAGAGATGAAGGCACTAGATTTGTGGCTGTCGCCAGATTTGAAGTCGAATTAATCTATAATATCAGAAAGGACTGATTAGCATCTTCATATTTTTCGATGATTTACTTAACGTAATGAAGGTAAATTGCTTCTATGTTTTTAGTATCTTTAATAGCCCGTCTGGGGAAACAATCTCCACCTTAAAGAAGCTCACCGTAAAATAACACTACCTGTAGTTGGTGTCGTGTTTCTGCTGGTGAGTAGGGTTCCAAGGGTTCGCGGGTTGGGGTCTGGGTTCAGGCCGGCAAGGTAAGGATGTCTGGAGCGGCATACTTTCTGCCGTACCACCTTTCGTCGCGACTGAACTCACTTAAATTTAACATAAGGTGGGGCGGGAAAATTTTGTTGTGCCTGGCTTAAAAGAATAATCTTCATATTTTTTGTGATTTACGTAATTTACATTAACATCTGTTTTTTTATCTACACAATGCACTCTTTATTACTACTTAACTAGAGACCGGCCGCGACATTGTCTAGGTCAACTTTACCTTTTTTGAGAATCTCAACCTAAACTTTTTCCGGAATAAAAAGTATCCTATGTCTCAGTCTAGGTTAAGAAACTATATGTGTACTTAATTTTACCCAAATAACTTCAGTAGTATTTGCGTGATTGAGTAACAAACATACAAATACATAAACTTAGGTACAAACTTTCACAATTTTATAATACTAACGACGATTTATTAAACACAGTTTAGAGTAAATTATAATTATCAGCATATTTGAGTGCGCGAATTGGTTGGACGTAATTGAAGCTTAATAACAAAATTGCTCCAAACCATATATTAATCGTTATGCCATAGATCATAAACAACCGAATATCAATATGAGTATGAAGTGGGGGGAGTGTTACAAAGGGCGCAGTGTAACATAAGTGTAATTTTTCTTATATTGTCTATGGGTGTTTTTAAGGCCACCATCTTAAACAGCTGTCATCAGACGGCAAATACCCGGGTATTTGTAGTTTGTAGAGAAACTATTCAGGATTGATTTAACACATAAATAAAGCCTGGATGTACAGTAGAACTAGGGTAATAACAGGAAAATCGATCGAATTTTTCTTGGTTTTCCGGTCGTGAAAAACAAAATGGAGCGCTACACAGACCAGGGGATATTATACAAACGGGTGTTAAATCAATCTTGAATAGTTTCTCTACAAACTTATATATATATATATATATATATATATATATATATATATATATTTATATCTATTAGATGTGTAAATTAAAAATCATTACTTAAAATGATAAACGCAAAATATGACAATAATTTTCTCAACTCGTGGCAGAAATCATCCATTTACACAGACGGGGGGATTAAGAGATATTCCTTTTATTAAATTGTGCCCCTTGTTACACCGTCGCCCAATTGATTCTACTTATTTGACGGCATTGTGTATGTGAACGTTTCAACCTACAAAATCATAACAAATAGAAGTGTCTACGGAGCTACTTTTCCTAACCAAAGAAAAGCGGAGGAGGTTCTCGATTCGGCCCGTATGCTTTTTTACCTATGTACAGCCAGCGATCACTTCTTAATTACTGATCCGATTAACGTGATTCGTTTTTTGTTCAATGCAATATAGTTGAAAATTGGTACCATAAAAATTCTATCCAGGGGGTCAGTTGCCTAACGGTAGTGGTGTAATGATTATGAAAGTTTCACTTTAAAAAGTTAATACTAAACAGCTCTTAGTCTTATTTTAGAAAAACATCCACCTTTAAATCACAATGCTAATCAAAGTACCAACATTGTCTCATTTTAATCAAGAAAATCAAAACCACGAGACGCCTGAACTATTATTATGGACCCTCTTTTTCGCGCCCTTCCCTCAAACAAAAGATCAAAGCTCCAGCAAATTGAGGAGAGAGGACGGATGAAAGCTCTCTGCCATAACCATAGCATTAAGAGATAACGAGCTTTAAGACACCACGATTAGAGATAAGCAAGCCGATTACAATGAATACTGAACACTAATTGTTATTAATTAATTAAGGTGACCTCACAGGTGACATAATGTGACAATTTCTGTTTCGAAGGAACTAAAAGTTGGCACGATTTTATCGAAAAAGTTTGATGCTCCATTGTGAGTGTTTACAAATTTAGTGATGTATTGATGTTTTCATTTTTAAAGATTCCTATTGCATTCTGATATCTGAGCCAAGTTTTCTAATAAAATTTTCTTA